GGGGGGAAATCGTTCCTGGTGCGGTTCAGGGAGAATGTTTCTTATCAGGTGGACTAGAGGACTGCTATTGGTGGGAAGTGTGATATGTCAGAGTTTTACGCTACTACACAGACTGAAAACATCAAGCAGTTAAGAGTAGCGTGTAGTGAGTGGACCTCTAATGTGTTCTGTGGTGTTGCGATAATATTCTAGATTAAATCGCTGTGCCTCTGAGAGGTAATCTTAAAGCTGTACCCATTAAAACACATGAAAGCCTGTCGTCTGTTGTTAGTTCAGTGGTTGTGGAACGAATGCTTTTAGGATGGGTCGTCACTCACCGCGAAACACATTAAGGAGGGTTCGACTGATCAAACTTGTCTTACATTGAAGACAAACGTGGCATGAGATAGTCTGTTTCCGATTTTATAATTATACCTTCAGCTGTGTTACTGGAATCTTTTATCTAAGGGTTGTACTTAAAATCTGTGGTGAGAGTTACCTTCCTTAATTTTTATTTATTTATTTAGTGTTTTGTCTGACGACAGGTCCATATGAACAGGATCCTTCCATCCTTTTCTCGGACTGGGACCTGTTCATATACGTTCTTGGCAGATGATCCAGAAGTGGTTTGCCATTGCCTTCTTCTGTGTGTGAATGGAGTAATTGTTGGGATGCCCCCGGAGGAAAACTCCGTGTTGCCTAGACCACGGCCTTGCCCAACACAAGTTATAAATTCGGGCACCGCCGGGAATCGAACCCGAGAGTCTGAATGTGTATCAAATGCTATTAATACAACATAAAATAATAATATTTAGCACCGTCTCATAGAAAGGGCTCGTGTGTCAGTGGCATAGTTATCTGTAGTATTTATTGCCACGTGAATACTTTCTAAGACTCCTCAGAAACAAGCGCATTGATCGTTTCAATACGTGTGTGTGAACGTAAAATTATTAACTCATGAAAATATTTGAAGACAGAAACAATTGCCCTTCAGACCACGCACTCCAATTGGACTGGGAAATAATCAGTGGCGACAGAGGTAAATGTGAGACTATTATAACGGTCTTCAAGACGTTTCGATGAATTTTATCGGGTTGTCATTCTTCTGGACTTAACTAATCTCATTGCAATGGTTGGAGTCTATACTTTGCTTTGTATTTATTTCTCTTTAAGGAAATGAAACTGCCTGGAATATGTAAGCACCGTTCGTGAAGTCTATTTTATGTTTACCACTCAACAACAATAACACTTGCTGGGGATTGGATCTTGATAGTACTTTAAGTGGAAGAAGGCGAGTTTTATGAAGCGTCAAATTTGTTGACGGCAACAAAGTTTGATGGTATTTTCATGTTGGATGCGGTTCCAAGCGCTTAATATTCATGCCATGATGTTATGTTGCAGACTTCGATCCGCCCTTCTATCTCCAGACGCATCTGACATCTAGCGGAGAAATTGAGAATGAGAAATGGCGCTACAGTCTCCCCGTCTGCGACATTACAGGTCTCCAAAACAAAAGAAATTTAAAACAGATTCGATGAAAATGCATTACTATTGTCTATCTAACTCTCAAACACACAATAGGACGTGTTCTATTTTTTTTTTTCAAAGTCAAAATGACATTATGAATGTCTTCATTTGATTTTCATTCAAATGCTTTGACACTCAATTGTCAATTTGAACATTGCATGACGGAGTTTAGAAAAGCACTTGACTTATCTAAAATATGTAGGTTTCTCTTTTACAACAGCCTGACAATGAATGTTTATTTATAACTATAGTAGCTTCAGTTGATTTGCATTTTGAAATGTTTATTAGAAATATTTAGCAATTTAACATACACATTTTATTAAAGTATTTAATTTTAAAGTTCTTAAATTCACTCGAGACAAAAACATATTTTCGAATCAAACTATCAGGTATTCCTTTTCAGCTGTTTCGCTAACCTATGTGATCTTTCAGTACAAGAAATGAGTTTGAACAGCAACTTACAAACCGAACAGTTTCCCCGAAGGTTAAACATTTCTCACTACTTGATTTCAGTGGAAATGAAAAGCCAAAAAAATTCTATTGTAAGTGCCAAATGTGTTCCACCTTTTTACATAAATGAATGTGTATAAATCCTGATTATGCAATCAGCACGAAAAAAATGTCACTCACTGCACATCACTTATTTGAGAATGCTATGTTTTATTAAGACGTCGGTGACGGGGAAAATGGTGCATGATTTGGTATTTTCACTGGTGATTTCACGACAGATGTTTTTCATGCACTAAACAACTGCCTTGTGTATGCCGCATGGAATTAGCGTTACGTAGTTGGTAGACACGAGGTTCTGCGAGCCAAATACATCTCTCTGATGCCATTCTTTTCTGAGATAAAAGCATCAGTGTTATCAGTTTAAAGGTTTTGTTTCCCCTAAGAAGATAATGTTGCTTTACTTTCAACTTAATATTATTGTAACCAGAGCCCTTAATTATTGTGTCATGATTTAAATTTTTTAAGAAAAATAATGAATTTTATTTAATAAGGCGGATTTAGAGTCAATGAGTAGTTTCAAGACTAAATCATAAAACTGAACATTAAAAACCTGTTTTGTTGCATTTCAGTGTCAAAATTCGATTGAATAATCTAATCCGTTTGTGTGATTGTTCTAAGTAACTTAGAGTCTTCATAATATAATTGTTGAATTTTTGCGTTAATTGCATATAACATTCTTTTGGGCTATACTGCAACTGTATAAATTTTCTACGAGGAATTTATCAAAATTGCTTCTATATGCACCAAATATGTGAGGAAAATGTTTTACTTCAGTAACATTGAACTCTGATAACAAGCTTATGACAATGTACAATTTTTAATCTCCTTGAAATACGTATTCATATTTTTAAATCTGGCTTTTCTAGAATGCATTAAATAATTAATAATATTCGTAGAATACAATACAAATGTTTTTCTTACATTTTCCCCGTTAGAAAAGAATGGCTCGAGATTCATGCAGACCGGATGTCTTGAATTTTCTTCACTGCAGTGAACTTGATTAGACTGGAAGAAGGTCTAACAATGCATGTCGCTGTGGAATGCTCTGATTACTTCATGAAGCTACTCACTGAGGTCTCTGCTGGCGTAACAATGGTTTTGTTGAGATAACTTCATCCTCATGCTACTTTAAATATTTTTTCTCGTTTTCAGCAAGATAATTTCAGTTTGCGGCTACGTCACGTACCCGCAGGACGCTGATCTCTGTGTGTACCATCTGCTTTCGCATCTAACAATTGTTAATTTTTCCCACAGAATGTAATTGTGGGTTTCGTACGATTCTCAGAATAAAAAGCGATTTTTTCCTCCAAACGGTATTAACCAGTTGGTCTTTCTTTAAAACAAAAAAAAAAAACAGAATTTTTAAAAATTATTTTGATGAGCTCTGTGTTTCGAGATATTAAGTACAGTCTCACGATGGAGTGAATTAACTGATTTTTGTATCACTTACATTTTTTTTATTCCATAACAGAACGAGCGCGAAGTAATTTTTGCACAAAATGAAGTAAGCAATCTTAGAACTAATTTTATTACAATTATTCAAGGTCAAAACTTAGATTAAGAACGCAGTTGGATCTATACATCTGGAACTTCTTTATCTAACGTTTTTATGTATAGATTTTAAAACTTATAGTAAAAATAAATGACGACAGTGCGAAATCATATGCTAAAAACCCGCATATATGGCTGGTGATGTTGTACTCAGGCATGTTTCGACATAGGCGTATGACAGAGAGGAAGTTTATCTTCCAGGTTTCTTTGTCAGTAAAAAATTATTCCCTGCGGAAGATTCACAAGTATTGTGACGTAACAGAGGAAAATAATAACCCTAAGTCCTTACAGGGGCACAGAGACTCAGCTCCATTTGATGAAACTCGTATTTCTGACTGAGAAATTTATATTTTGTAATTTTGTTTTACTTCTCACGAGGGAAGATCTTGTTATGATTTTGTGAAAGTACAAATAATAAAAACTTCCAGAATGTTCGTTTATGTTCTCGACTAAGGAAATAAAGAAGTCTAGATATATGACAACAGTCCGATCCTATCGTGATGTTTAAGTCTGCATTAACTTGTTAGCTTTGTTTTACTGTTTCACAGCACGGTAGAAAACCCTTACATAAATTTACTAAAACGATATTCAAGCTAACGCGAGACTTCGCTTTAAAGCTCAGTAAGATATTTTCTCGGTCTTAATAGCTGTGAACGCACACAAAATTATGCATTGTCATGTGTCTCTGAATTTTCCTCCGCTAGAATAAAAGTTTCCACACTGTAGCATAATATTATTGTGTAGGTTTTATTATTCCAACTGAAATACGTATTATAATTTAAATAATTGAGAGTAGGTTACTTTGGAATAACAATAGATGACACCAGTGCTTCAGTTGATTATAGTTTAATGCTGATCGACATTTCCATTTCTGGCACGCAACTACATTATTTTGCTCTAGTCAACATCGCAGTAATTTTCAAACTCAGTGCTTCTGAATGTTCTTAAAATACGCGTTAATTGTCAATTAAACATGAACGTTACATTGGATGAAAGTTTGTCGTTCAGGTGAAAGCTCGTGACAGGATAAAATAATCGGTTTTAAGGGCAGACCGTCTCAGTTAGAAAAGTTAACTGCAAGTCTTTTATGACATCAAATGAATACGAACAATTGTAAGAAAATAATAGTTTATTAAACAACGTTGCATAAATTAATGAGATGTCAAGGTGAGATTTCAGTTTCTCGCGACGACGCCGTCTGAAATGTCGCGACGCGTAGTCTGGTAGATACTGACCGACGTATCAGAGACGTTTATCTCCTCCGTCATTGCAGTGGTGGTGAAGGCCGTAAGCACATCCGAAACGTCGGTGAATATCTACCAGACTACGGGGCGCAATATCCTAGGAGGCAGCCGTAATCTTGTTTCCACCTCGAGTTTGACGACGTTCCTCGCTACCACTCACCCGGGTGGCTGTTGTTGTCTTGGTTGCAGGACGATGACGGCCATCTGCTTCGTGTGCAATTTGCCCATCCTGAGTCACCAGGTGGGGCTCGTGTGGCAGGGCGGAAACGGCTGGGACGATCTCGTCCGAGAGCAGGTGGAGGAATCGACGCTGCGACAACGGTTAGGGGCCGGGCGTCGCGACTCTGCTGCCCAGATCACCAGTATAAGCCCGCCCACAGAGACGCAGGAGACGTCGCCTCCCAGCTCAGGTACAGATCGCAAAGGAGCTGCTATCTGAGGTGGAAGTATAGGCAGTGCCTGAAGTACAGAAGTCAAATGTTTACCACTACGAAATTCTTAATACGTTTAGTTCAGTCACCTTATAATTAAAGCGACTTTGTTTCTTGAATATTTAAAATTAAATGTTGACCCTTCCTTAATTTCCTTCTGACTGTATCATTTAATCGAAGAAAATATGCAATATTTATCACAGGCTAAACATGTAATCGGTATAAATTTTAAATCAAATAACTACAAACACCGGAACGCACTTTACATGAAATATGAGGGTAATTGTACCTGAGTTGTGTAACGCATGGCGGGCGTTGTTAGAGGAAACTTGAAGGAGTTGAAGGAACAAGCGAAAAAAAGAACAACACTAATGATGACGTAAAAGGAATATGGTCCGAGAATATGGACTTGATTCAACTGACTAAGGATAATTTACAGTGGAGATTAATTAACGCCCAGAAGAAGTAGGAGTTTAATATTATGTTGTGTGTTTAAGGAACTGTCACCAGGCGTCGCAGAAGCTCCCTGGCGCAGCTGACAGACATCTTGCGGGAATGGAGTGGGAGCACGAAATGTTCCCGAAGCAAGGACCCTCAGCTGCACCGTCGAGAGACGCTGGCCGACATCGCCAAGAGCTTGCCATGGAGCCGCAGCTCCACGACCGACTCCACCACAGTGGCAAATCTCAGAAAGCGTCGAGAATCTTCGGCGGATCAGGGGATAAAACATCCCAAGTCACGCCGCGATTCTACAGCCATCAGCGACTTCAGGTCTGACCTGGCGCGTCTGTGGTCGTCCCGACGCGAGTCGGCCACAGTCATAACGGCGCGAGACCCTTCACAACAGCGTCGAGGCTCTGGGGAATCCGCCCGGAGCGGCCGCAGGGACTCCACCACGCTGATTAGCTCTCGGAGGGGCTCCGGTGAGTCGTCTCGCTCCGGAAGGAGGGACTCTATCAATACATCTGCCGTGACGCCTTCGCCACCCAAGTTACACCATCACCACCATCACCACCATCATCATCACAGAAGAAGGGATTCGCGCACGGGAGAACCCAAGTACTACAGACAGGAGCAGAGACCTTCGACCTCCAGCACTGCATCTGACAGCGGGCCCGGTGTCAGCCTGCTGATTACGCAGCCCTCCACAGCAGGTGCGGTCAGCCTCTGTTACCACAATTAAACTCTCTGCTTATTTCAGTGACGATTTCTTATCAGTTCGGAGGTCCTTACCGACGATTCAGAGGAATTTTACCACCTCCATATTCCTCCATGAATGTAGAGGCAGTATGTTCCTCCGAATCGTTGCTGTCTACCAGCAAGGAGGCCGAAACGTCGTCAGGCACTTGCTCTGTTTGGATGTTGAAGGTTTCGCCGGGTTGTCAGCGTCGGCCGAGCCTCAACACGCGTTGCCGCCACCCACCATCATCACCTCCTCCACAACGCCGCCCGCCACGTCTCCTAGCAACGCTGCACAACCCGTCCTTGTGCCCACTACGACCGCGACGTTGTCTTCCTCGCCCCCTGGCACGACGGCTTCAGCAGCCTCGGCCACCACCACTGCCAGCACACCAGTGACGAGTGCTCACCCGCTGCTGGCAACAAGGCGGGACTCCACCACGCAGGTACGCATGCCTCGAGGTCCCTAGTTCGTATCTTGACGAGGCAGTCGTCTAACCTGAATGAGATCTTGGACTCGAAGACCGGCGACGGTGATCAAGGACTTTCGTGGTAGATGCTGGGACAGTAACTTCAACTGGACCAAGACTGCTTCCATCCACATCGTTTCCAATTCATTATTCATCAGTTATAGTCTAGTCTACTGACAGTGTCTCTGAATAAAACAAACGCGCGCACAGAATGAAAGCTGTTAAATGTTCTTTCGTCTGTCATTTATTTATTTGCGTATTCTGGGTATTTCTTCACAGAAACCAGTCTTAATGAATATTTGATCGTCCTGTTGCTAAATTTTAAAAGCTAGACTATTTTTGATCAAACGCCGATTCAGAGATGTAGTGGTTTGCTTGGTCAGGGCCTCACGCCTAATGCAGCGGCGATAGATGATTATGTATGAGAGGTGGAATGATGATGAGTATAAGAAACCTGGGGAAATTCTGCTCTGCAGCTGCGTCATTGCCCACGAGTCTCAAATTTTATGTTAGTTTATTTTGTTGCCTTCTTGCACAGTCTTTTAACAAAGTCCGTGAATCTAGATTACGTTACGAACTTTGCATCAGTCTGTTCAATAGACGTCATGAAAAGTACGTTTAAAACCTAGATAAGCGGTTTGTTTGCAATTGCGTCTGCTTTCCGCCCTTTATTACATTCAATTCGTTTTCTATTCAGATATTTTTACATTTGTAAGCTCATTGTGTTATTAAAGCCTACACGGGCCTTTACAGATAATCATCTTATGCGTCTGATGTTTCTTTTATGGCATTGCCACGTGTTTGCGTTCTCGTAGCCGTCACATGACCTTTCCGCCTCCCTGCAGGTTTATTATAAAGGTCGCCGCGATTCTCGAAGCCATGCTTCCCCGGAGCGCCGTTCCAGCACTAAGGAGCCTTCACCCACCAAGTTTCCGCGTCTGCCCCGCCAATCCACGGCGATAGATGAAAGCGGACCCGGACCGTGGGGTCGTCGAGGCTCGTCGGTGGCCGCAGCTGTTGCCGCAGACGACAGCTCGGGGCGCAAGGCACGACGGGATTCCCTGTCGCCCGACTCGGCAAGCTACACGCGCGGCCGAAGCCGGGGCATGCCGCCTCGTTCGCCAGAGTCCTCGTCCACCTGTTCCTCGCGCGACCCTTCGCCCTGCAACAGGGCTTCGCCCGCACCCACCAGCCACGCCCCGATCATCCGTCGTCAGTCAACCACCGAGGAGATTCTGATTGCACGAGGCTTTCGTCGCCAGTCCACCACGGAGGAGATGATCCGGTGTAGGAATTTCCGACGACAGTCGTCGCAGAGCGAGGACCTGTCTCGCTCGCGAGGCAGAAGGGATTCCTCCGCGCAGATTATTGACGGCACGTTCGCCACCATGACCGTGGAGACTACCAGCACGTTTTTCGACACCAGCACGCAAACAGGTCAGTTCGCCGCGTCAATCTGTAAGTGTAAGATTTTTTCTTGTGCGATTTTTGGGGCGATGGCATCATCGGGCATGTGGGTCCACCACGAAGGGCTTTGCTAGGATAATTCAATTCTGTACGTAACTGGAGACGAAATTCAACACAAAAATTCAATGGGCTCTTTTTAACGCGCGGTGGTTAACTGTGTGTACCACTAACGTTACTTCTAAGCATAAATGTCTCTTATTTTCCCGCACACCGGGCCTTCTAATCCACTGATTTTTGTAACACGAAGTGTTTTCTCGGAAGTATGAATCACGTTTTTCAAAATCATGCAGTACAATCGAGTTTCGTGCTTTTAACGGTGCTCTTAATTGTTTGTATCATTTCCACTGAAATACCAGAAGATGCGCTTCTCGTTTAAAATGAATAGAAAATAGATGAATTGAAGTTTATGTTTGCAATAGATTCATATGATAAAGAAAAATGGATTATTTGGGTTTATAAAATTTGGTGTAAATTTTGCGTCGTACTTGTAAAAAGAAAAAAATACATTCAGTTTATATTTATGTGTAGTCGAAACACATTTTCAGAGGTCGTCTTCGCATTAATCATGATCCCACTCCAAATCCAGAGATGCAATATTCTTATGCATATTTGAAAAAGAAGATTTGCTGGCAACGCGTAAAACCCCACAGGAAATCGGTAGAATTGTTGATTGCGTCTCGTGTAATTAGTTGAGTTCGGATGTTGAGTGTCTCTCAGAAGTCATTGACGTTTTCCTCCGACCTGGAAGTTGATGGAGGTTTATCATTTAGCAAGATACGGAACACCACAGACGATCTCGGACTTGGACAGATTATCTGTCACAACCTAAACAACGAACACAAACGCGTTAATTCAGTTGGCCCAGGATGAACTTAGTCACGGGGGTCTTTCTGAAAACAAAATGGCGGTGAATTTCTTGATCAGTGGAATTTCTCTCAGCTTCTCTAGAAGGACTTTGTATCTTGAAGTTAGTCTGTCCCTTCTCTGATGATCTTGGCTAAAGTTTCATGTCTTTAGCCAGGCGATTAACATGTGCACGCAGCGAAGTCTATGGAAGTTGTTAGGTACGACGAGCGGCTCCTGTAACTTCCTGGTCTACGGAGTGTCAGGCCTTTCTCTTATCACGAGCTGCAGTCGCCTTCTCTATAAAAGTTTCGGCCTTGCTGTTGCAAAGGTGTTCAAATTCCCTTCTGACTACGAGATAGGAATGCCTCACGGACGTTTGATTCTGCTTTATTCTTGCGAGATCATTTAAACAACTACTTTAATGAAGCAAACGTTTTACGCTATCCGATTTCTAAGGGAAAGAATATTCGGCGTTTCTTATTTAGTGTTTATTTCACGACGATGTTAACAGCTCAGAGCGTGGAGTGTCAAACGATAAGATCATTAATGAATAATGAATTTTAATTAATATAGAACGAAGCTTTCGTGGCCTTGTTTAATTCCCTCACAATTTAAATGACAGGCGCGAGGAAAATCACGATAGACCTCGGTCAGGATATCGTGGAAGTTATTCGAACCCGAATCATCCAGGTTTGATAACGACTATGTTCAGAAAGATCATAGAACTTAACACGGTATAAAACTTAAAATAACAATGAAAGCATGGTATAAAATATCATTAACTTTAAAATGTACAACTCACATTTAAAATATCTGACAAAGTCAATGGAACAGAGTCCTTGTTGAGAAACTGTCACTCAACGGATGAGAAAGTTCCGAGCCTCCCTATGGTTCGTTATCTTGTTTACAAGGGTCATCCACCTTTCCCCGTCCTAGACCAGATGAACCCAGTTCGAAAACTCACACCCTACTTTTATAAGATCTATTGTCATCACATCTACGTCTAGGTCTTCTGAGTGGTCACTTAACCTTCAGGCTTTCGAGACAAAATTCTGCGTGCCAAGTGCACCACCCTTCCCACCCTCTTGACTGGATCGCTCTAATAATATTCGGAAAATAGTGAAAATTATCAAAGTGTTCATTACAAAACTTAGAACTGGACGAAAGCAATGAACAGGCAGTTTGGAGTACGCAGTGTTTTATTTATGAGCGTAGCCATATTTTGGTTATATACCTGGGATTTTTGTGGCTCTAACGTTGTAATGATAATATATACTTTATTTTTCGTGACAAGGCCCTTGTACGTATCCTGTAAAACGGAAGGTAATGTCTGAAATAAAAAATGCTATTGTCGACAGTCCCACAAGGAAGCATTCTCCATTTGAAATCATAAAAGAGATTAGGCAGTATGCTGTGCATCGTCATTAAAACAAGAGAAGACCGGTGCCGCTAGCATCCGTTCAGTGGCGCCAGGGTTGTGGCGACGCCACAAACTAATTCTTTATAGTTTTTTTGCTTTATTTTTCTGGAAAGCGGAGACCGAACTGCGAGGAAGTTTTGTGTAATTAATACATCATAATTTTTCTGTGCCTTTTTGGTGCTGTGTCTGGAAGCTCGCACTGTCATCTGAGAGATTCGGAGAGGAACTTCAAAGTCCTCTGCACTCTGTGAATTCTATAAAACACTCTGCTTGTTTATTTAAAAGTCACCCCCCTCTGTTTTGCAGAATTTCTGCGGAGAATGCTCGTCCATTCTAATTTCATTATTAGGTCTAGTTTTTGTTGAACATTTAATGTTTTTATAATAATTCATTCACCGTCCATACACAAACTTAAAATGTTGTTAAAATTTACTTAAAATTACATAAAATTACAACATTTTTTAGAATTAGATCTTGATACATTTCACATTTGACGACATGTTTCGGTGTATTACACCATCATCAGGTCAATCAATTTAAAAACTGTTTTAAAAGTTGTTGTACATCCTGCTCCGCGTATATTGATACGTTTGACTGTTTTGATATATAAAAAAAAATTTAATGTTTTAATACGTAACCCTTTCCGTACAACGAGCAAGATTTTGTCGCTCAATAAGTTAACAGCTTCTGTTCGAAATAGTCTTGTTTTTGTGTCTTGATGGAACTGCAGATCCGAGAGGTAACTGAAACAGCAAGAAATTACTCAGTGATCACGTGAATAAGTAACTTGGAAAGATTGCTGAATGCAGAAATAAGTACCTTTTCGAAGACTGTGTTAGTACAGTGCATTCACTGATAAAGTTGAACGCTATTGTAACTTTTGTACTTAAACTAAGTGGAAAATGGAACGAAGTTGTTCGGAAAATTTAAACTTTTAACTTATGACGTCTACAGAGGAGTCTGTACGGATCAGGTAGTAACGTGATTGGCTGTGAGTTTGGTTATTCAAGTTCGTTTGCGGGAAATTTCTCTCTTGTCCGTTTCCTCCCACACAACTTCCTGTCCAACGGATCACCGGACAGAAGTTAATCCATCCCTTGGAGTTTGCTTACGCCTTCGTAACCTGATTTTTAGTCACACTGTAACTCTGCGTTAATAGACGTAGTGCCACGTGCGTCGTTACATCTGGAAACCCCCCATCAGTTGGCCACAAAGACAGAGGCCAGAGACCCTGACACCTCTCGAAACCAAGTCCGCACACGAACCTTGTTCCTTAAACACCCACCGCCACGTGTGCGGTCCACCGCCTCTGCTTACGTGTTAATTAATTGCTCCCCGAAAGCTATCAGACGCTGCAGACAAGACAGGACAGATACGCGGGCAAGAGTGTATCAGGGGCGTTGACGAAAAGACGTCTCTGGAATAGGGGTGTCGACCTGCAGGCCAAAATGTGATGAGACACGCGGGATGCATAGTTAAGCCAGTTTATGTCTGTGTCTGTGACTTTTAACTTTGAACCTTTCGACGGACTCCAATGGAAATTTGCACCAACTCCATACCGCAAGAGGAACGTGTTATTACGTCGACAGCATTTACGTCTGAGATGCCAGTGACAATTTGGTGACTAAATTTTATTTATGGGTTAATGGAGATTGGAAATATTTTGAAATTTTTGTTAAGATAATTTTTATAATTGTAGGATTAGGCACGTGAATGCATAGAATCAGGACAACCTGTACCTTTAAAAGTTCCTAGGTCTATCTATTGCTTGTTATTATAGTTTAAGTCGTATTGAACGCACGGCTGAAATTATTGTGACGTCATTGAAAGCGCGCGAGTTTAAAAAGGCTGTGGTGAACGATGAGTGCACGATAAAATTTATAGTTCTTTTAATTAACGCATGGTCCTGGGGGCGGGAGGTGCACGACATAAAGAAATATCAGTAATGAAAAGTAAACAAACCTCGAATAAAAAACAAACAAACAAACAAACACGAGGGTAAATATTATTTATTAAGGAGGGACACATTTTGTGTTGTTATGATGGTATATGAGGAGGGGACATGAACCCCGTGAGGGGAAATAGAATTGAATTGGCGGGGAAGTGGAGTGGGATGGTGACAAATTGAATTTACGTAGTTTTTTTATTGAGAGGCACAGAAATGATTGGTTTACGCAACAAAAAATGTTTATTATTACATTGGCCATTGTAAACCTGAAAGAAGTGTTGCCTGTCGCTGTAACATTCATATAACAGTTAGGAATATGCATGTTACGTGTGACGTATTTGCTAACTGAGTGTCTTTAAGAAATATTGCAGTGTTATACACTCAGTAGCATGTGAATCAAATGAAAGTTGATTTTTTAATTCTTTAAAATAGGATGAAATGTGCGTCTGACATTGCATATTAGGAGCGTAGAGGTCAGAATCTACAAAATTTCATAAGTGTGTTAGTATAATCGTAAATTTGAATGTTCCTTAAACCTAAATTGTCCTTCACGAAAACGTTTTAAGATGAACTTCGGTTAATAGCGTCAGATATAGGATGAAATATGTATAAGAAGCAATTTCGAACGTAACTCACAATACGTAGCCTAATGCCCTACGTGGAAGAGTAGGTAAAGTGTGTTCATGCAAGTTTTCTCTGTCGTACGAGCGAATGTTGTGACGTAGTTCGTGATCTTTGACCCAATGCTCAAACCAG